TTGGTTACAACGATAACTCTTTTCCACCTGATCATTCCATACGATACCTCACGGACTACCGCTTTAGTCTACCTCGCCTTAGTACGGACCGAGCCTAGAGAAGTATAGCCTAACCCCGTGTAACATGACTGCGCTGTTGGTACATTTGATTGCGCTTACTCTGGCCACTTTTTCACCCACCCACTCGGAGTATTGGCACACTTTTCATGATCCAATGAGCATGGTGCCCGCGTTTCGATCTCCTGCAGGCTTATCAAAGACCTTTAGGCTGACTGTTCTCGTCGTCAATCACAAGATAAGGACCATTTGATGGTGCAAAAGTGGGTGACGCAATGAGGCTGAGAAAGAGATACAAAAGGATGATGAAAAGGCACCGGTCTTCATTTCAGGCATCTTATTATACTGCACTGAGCGATTATATGCTACGCGATTCCATTCACAACATACCACACGTAGTGATTCGCAGACATGAAGCTACTTGTCTTCGCACCAGTCTTACTCGCTCTTGCACATGCTGCGCCCGTAGCTCAGCCAGCCAGTGAGTCAACAGCCTTCATTACAGCACAACCTGGGCTAACCTGACACTCTAGATTTCGAGGCTGATGCTATGCTGGCCGTTGCGCGGTCCCCGGAGTCCTCTTATGCCAACAAGCGTGGCGAGCGTGCTCATTTCGAAGCTGATGCAATGCTTGCTGTGGCAAGAGCCCCGAAATCGTCCTATGCAGAGAAACGCGCCAAGTTCGAGGCTGATGCGATGCTTGCTGTTGCGAGGGACTCGGAGTCTTCGTACGCAAAGTGAACGAGGGAGGACTCTGGATGCTCCTCAGTTCAACGTTATTAGCTAGCCAGTCAACAATAACATGCTGCCGATCGTTACCACCATCGAAACAATGCTGTCTTCCATGATTGTGACCGTCGTATAATTGCGTTGCTGTGTTACTGTACCGGTGAGCGCATACCGGTGAGCGCAATCGGGTGGCTGGCACGAGGTGCAGTATGATCGTCAAATGGCCGTGCCCATTCAGCCGTGTCTTATCATTCGTTGTCGAGGATGGAGCCGATAAGTCGCTGCCAGTGTTGTGGACAAGCATGCAAGCAACCATCAATAAAGACCTCAATCACTCTATGGCACGTGTCCTTGTGTACAGTCGCCTGTGCAGTCTTTTGCCACTATCGTCAAGGATTTGCTTGCTTGTTCACAGCCCTATTCGCTGGTGCCCTAGAAAGCGGCGCACTTTGCTGTTGAAAAGGAAGCACCCGTTAATTTCGGGGCGCACCCACCCATGCACTGAAGTTCGAACCCCACGAACCCAGCCAGCCGGTCCACCCGCATGGAATGGGCCGAGACCCACTTCCCGATATTGAGTGCATGAAGGGCAAAAGAGTGACCCTGCTCTACCCTGCTTCCGAACGACTCGATAATGGAACTCGCTGATAGGCCCCACTGACCCCGCAGTGAAGTAAGCTGACACTGACCTGCCAGTAGTAATGCGTTAAGGGTCAGATCTATGTTCTGTCTCACGCGTCTGAACAACTACAACACGCCTTTGAACGCAGTGGATTGTCAACATGCGCATACACGTCTTTAAAGCTGCTGCGAGCAAGCATGGGAGCTTCTTTGCACCGCGAAGGTGCCTGTCGACATTGTCAAACATCCCGTCGTATCAGCATCACCCAGATGTACTTATAGCGTCGCGCCGGCCCTCGACACACCCAATCGCGTTGCGAACTGAGCGACCGGCAACCACAATCAGCATTCCTTCTTACCAACACCACCCCAGTTTTCCTCCAGGCGTTATGGCTAGTCCATCAACACCAAAACCTTCGTTCGTCGACATAAAAGTAGCATATCTAGTATTTCACTGACAGCATTGCAGGTACACCACGGCTTTCGCGCTCTTCGAGGCTCTGTGGGAGGTAAGACCCTATTGCTACTACACGAGCATACGCCACTTTAAAACCATCATGGCAACTAACAGTTGATATAGGCCGGCATTACCGTCTGCTTCATCAATGTGGGCTCAGACCATCCGTCCATCATCGAAGCCATTGTCAAGGGCAAGAGAGAGCGGCCAGACAGATGGCCCCGGTTCATAACTTGTCCATCGGAGATAACAGCTATATCGATGGCGGATGGCTACGCGAGGATATCCGGCCGACCGCAAGCTGTCGTAGTCCATGTCGACGTGGGCACGCAAGCGCTTGGACAGGGTCTACACAATGCAAGCGTCGGGCGGGCGCCTGTGTTCATCTTCGCTGGAATGTGTCCCTATACTGAGGCTGGGGAGATGACGGGGTCACGGACAGAGTATATGCACTGGTTGCAGGAAGCACCCGACCAGAAAGCTATTGTTCGCCAATATTGCAGATATACTGGCGAGATCCGCACAGGCCTCAACGTCAAGCAGACCGTTGCACGTGCGCTGCAGTTTGCAAACAGTGGACCCAAAGGACCAGTCTATGTTGCAAGCGCACGAGAAACACTTGCGGAGGTAATCGAGGAGCCTTACCAGTTGGATCAGGAACAGTGGAAAGCGGTCGGTCCCGGTGCTCTGCCAGCTGATGCCGTCGAAGAGGTAAGTTTTATATCCCTACGCTTACACAACATCGTACTTACGTGACATGATTACTGTTTAGGTAGCACAGGCCTTGGTGGCGAGCAAGCGCCCACTGGTAATCACAGGATACTCAGGCAGAGATAGGCGTTGCCCCGAACAACTGGTCGCTCTCGCAGATCTCATACCTGGCTTGCGAGTGCATGACACTGGAGGCAGTGACCTCTGCTTTCCTTTCTCACACCCGGCTTCGCAAGGCTTCCGTCTTAGCACCGATGAATGCACACGCGATGCTGACATGATCCTACTTCTCGACTGCGACGTTCCTTGGATTCCATCAGTAAATCCGCCACCGAAAGGTACTCGCATATATCATATCGATATCGATCCTCTGAACGAGCGCATTCCAGTTTCCTTCTTCCCAGCACATGGACGGTGGAGAGGTGAATCTTATACTGCCCTGAAGCAAATTCTTTCCCACATCACGACATCTCCCTTAAGTGAGACGCTACAACAGCCTTCATTCGTGGAACGCAAAAAGGTTCTAGCAGATATGCATAAACAGAGACTCGCCGAAATTGCGTCACGATGTCACTTGAGTGACGGGCAATCCCTTGACGCGAGCAACATTGGCCATCTTCTCAAGCAAATTCTTCCGGACACAACAGTATTTGTGATCGAGGCTGTGACATGCGGGCAGCTTCTCTCTGATCAAATTCAGGCCGATAGACCTGGCAGTTGGATCAATTGCGGTGGAACCGGTATTGGCTGGAGCAATGGCGCAGCGTTAGGTGTCAAGATGGCCACAGACGACGCGGCCGTGACTACGGATAGTGTGCATGAGCCGACGCTCATTTGCCAGGTTGTTGGAGATGGCAGCTTCATGTGCGCGGCACCTTCCAGCGCATTGTGGGTTGGCTCCAAGTACAAAATACCCATCCTTACAGTCGTACTCAACAATGGTGGTAGGTCTGCTATCGAACACTTGCTTAACGTGCGCTGACATTCTTGACAGGCTTCAAGGCTCCAAAGAACTCAACCGCCTTGGTGTATCCTCATGGATTGAATGAGGGAGCGACTGATGACGAGATGAACATCTCCTTCAAGCCATCGCCAAACTATGCAGCACTCGCAGAAGCAGCTGCTGGAAGCCAGAGTTCGAAAGCCTCGACACAGGATCCAAATCAGTGGATGGAGGGCGTACGAGTAGATTCAGTGGCATCGTTGAGGAAAGAGCTCGGTAAAGTCTCACAGCGAGTGCTAGAGGAGAAAAAAGGCCTGTTGATAGAGGCTTTGATGGGCTAGTGTAGGTCCGACTGAATGTGATAGGTGGGATGAACTAAGACTCGTCAAAATCCCACGCCTAGCCTTGTTCTTACTTCTGCGTGTCGGATGGCCAATTAAGTTAGTTTCCACATGTGAATGGTATGCATTGACCGGCTAGCGATGCGCCTGAGCGAATTTCACCGCCCCCACTCGTTGACACGTTGTCTTCGAGTGCCCAGCTCATGCACAGTCTCGTACTGCGCCCCGGAGCATACGAGAAAAGATACAGTGCTCCTAGTCAAACAGAAGTAGCCAATGATAGCTACAATTAGGTATAGGAGGCGTAGTCTCGTCGTTGTGATAAGACAGCGCACTTCTTGGACATGTTCCGATTTTCGCTCGTCCGTGATAGAAAGAAGTACAGGGTCTTGCCCATTCGTGTGACCGCTTTTTGCTTGCCCACCTTTGACACGCACTTTGGTGGCGTGCAACATGCTTCGTATTCCTGGACTTTAAGCGGCAAAGATGGGTGCCTTCCAGGCTCCTGATCTAACTGGAAAAGATGCTGTACTGCTTTGAAGTTTCATGTACAGCCTTCCACGAAGCTCAGCCCTGTGCGCTCAGCCTCAGTGGATCTCACTCAGGCTTGTGAACACTTAAGTGTCTAGACACGGCCGGTCGCACAAATTGCTGTCTGCCCAGATGAACAACCACCTTCATTATTGATCATGTTCTTGAAGCAAACTTTTGGTCATGCCGAAGCCAGGTCGACTTTTGTTCCAGCTATTGAACCTCCTCCAGGGATTACATCGAACCCTACAAATCCCGCCTCGCTGGCTCGGTATACTCACATAACTACCGCCGTATGCCTACCGATTATAACAGCCTTTTTCCTGCTTCGAACTTATGTTCGCGTCTTCATCAAGCGAACCTGGATCTTCGAAGATCGTAAGTGATCATTGCACCACATTGAGTATAGATGAACTAATATCTATTAGTCTTAACGACGATAGCATGGGTACATCCATCTGAGTATCATACCATCTTGGACAAAATTTTGACAATGATTCAGGCCGGAACAGTCGCCTATCTTGGCATAATGGAAGCTACCATGGCGCATAATGGTGGGAAGCATGCTTGGGACATTACAGCGGCAGAAGCACAGAACGCAGCCTATGTACATCATAGCCATCCTCTTCAAAGCAACTGTTGCATGCGCTAAAGTTTACTCCAGTGGTTCAACGTGGCAGCCATAGAGTATGGCGTCATGGTATGTGTGGTCAAATTGTCCGTACTTTGGCTCTACCGCCGCGTCTTTGCTCCCAAACGCTGGAGCCCACTCTACATCGCCATCATACTCCTAGTCGCTATACTCATCGGCTTCTATGGTGCGACTACATTCGCCAAGATATTCGAGTGTACACCGCGCGCAAAAATCATGGAACCTTCGCTTCCCGGCCATTGCATCGATCTTTCTATGGTACTCAAAACCAGCGGATCCTTCAACTTCATCACAGATTACTTGATTCTATTTCTGCCAGTTCAAGCTGTCTGGAAGCTTCGTATCAGTCGTAAGAAGAAGTCGCTCATAATATCTGTGTTCACTTTTGGTTTATGGTGAGTAAGTGGTATCACGTTGTTGAATGCTTGGACTTACTACCATAAGCGCTCCCATCTTCGCAACTATTGGCTTTATTGTTCGACTCAGAAACAGTAGCAATCGTGATAAATCTTGGAGACAGCCTGAGATACTTCTTTGGGGGTGAGCATTACATTATGATCTGAGCCTGACAGAACGCTCACTGACCATGGACTTCATGTCTACAGTGCCGCAGAGCTCGCAAGTGGTCTTTTGTGCGTGTGTTTCCCTGAATTCGGGCCTCTTCTACCGCACATACTTCGCATAATACCGCACCGTCGACGATCTACACCGGAGGCGCGGCCGGTTGACAACGCGTTCGAAATGGCGGACTCACCTTCGGTGCCGAGACGAGCCTGGCCAGGTCGAGGCCGTCGCAAAGATCGTGGAAGACGTGTGATGGACTCCGGGATAGGGTTGAGCGTATACAATGAAGGCGACAAATCATATCGCGAACGCTTCCTCCCAAGAGGGTGGATGGATTCAGGAATTGGCTCACACGAGGTGAGGACAGTTGATCAAACCGCCCCTTCATGTGAAACTGGGTCGGAGGAAATCCTTTCCGCAAGTTCAAAGAGTGTAGAGCCAAACTATAACCTAGATGGTATTTCTGATTACGCGTAGAAGATATATAGCTATAATTAAGAGACAGTGCAAGAGTAGGGGCTAGAGAACTAGTATTGCAAAACGCGGCATGGCTGGTACCGGTGAAGTGTAACGATCGCTGAGATGCTTCGATCAACATAACGACAACGTATTCTCAACCTTCCCATATCGAAGCTTGATCAATCTATACAACGAAGATCAGCATCCAATATGAGCGGAGACCCCGAGTTCATCATCCTGAAGTACCAAGCATGGATGAGGACAGCCGCTTTCGAAGACACGATCCTTGGCGCTATCATAAAACAGCCTCTGAGCCCTTCCACAAACTATGTTCCCGATGCGCCGACCGCATACATCAGCCACGCACTTCAAGAAGGCTCTGCGACTGATTTTGTCCTCGAGGGCACTGGAAGTAGAAGTCAGGGCGTCGCGGGTTCGTTGACATCCATCGGACAATTCTCGGTATCTGGCAGCCGCGAAGCTAGCGTCCACCTCAACGGGAAGCACATTCGATACAAGCGGATTCGGCAACTCGACCAATTTTGGGCCAAGCTCAGAGAAGATCCGGACGTCAAACGGAGTATGGGAGATTGGATCTCCATGTGGAACACTTGACCCGTTTGTCTCGTAGTCGGCATTATGATCGGCGAGGACGTTGAGATCAGCATGGATGCAGCGAAGACTCAAGAGCGTAAGGCGCAAGGCGAGATCCCTGTGGGTGAGATACTTCTACCATCTGGTGGAATAAACCCGCTAGGAAAGGACGCAAACCCCAAGCTCGAAGCGACATCCTCGCAACACACAGCCACTCTCTTTAAAGCCAGCATGGGAGAAAGTATTATCTTTGTAGTTGAGCTGAAGATAGTCACGACCGGGTCCATCCACCGTCAGCTCTTGCGATTGGAGGACAAGGGGCCGAACGTCGGCGATAATCGTTTGGCTGGTATGGACTCAGACGAAGACAGCGATGAGGAGGCACCTGTTGATGAAGACTTTATCTTGGCTGATCTATACACAGATACAGTGAAAGATATGACACAAGACTAGCGAGCAAATGTTCTGTTTCATGCATCTACCTTCTGTTTGGTTAGCCTTCCAAGCAATCATGTCGAATACTGTGTCATCAAGAATTATCATATTATACAACAATATGTGCTATGTCAATGTATCCAAAGGAGAGAGTAAAGCTCGTATCTGACAAGAAGAAAAGGTTGGCGGTACCTTGAGTTGGGGACGAGAATGAGAGTTTAAGACCCACTTCTTGTTCAACCCGCATGTTTGACGACCTTTTGAGCACGTGTGCACGAAGCCACGGGATAGCGCATTCTGCAAGAACGAATAGTAAGCGCACTGCTGCCTGGTCTCTTTCGCGCCACCTGCAGGCCACAAATCTCGGGTCTATACCATTTCTGTCGCTCTGCATACGCTGATAAGACGGATCTTGTTTACCCCGCCATCAGGCCTAGTCACCACCTTGGCTAAACGGTAATGCCAGCGTCGCAACAAAAGGGTCCTGGACAGCGCGAAAGGAGACTCAACACACTCCCCAGCAGCCGCCAAAGACGAGTGTGAATATTCAGTACGACTCCGATTCACTCTACTTATTTTTCCCATCCCTCGAAGTTGCCGCTGTCCGTATGTTGCGCTTTCTGGTCCAATCTCAATAAGGCTGTAGTATGTCTGTCTCTGTAGCCCCATCACTTTGTGATCGGTGCTCTTCTATGTTCCAAGGCTCTTTTCCTAGGTGGAATTTCATTCATCATACTTCCATTCAGAGTCTCGAACAAGCAGCCGAAAAGAACTGTATTATCTGTAGGGACGTCTGGAAGGATTTGGTGAAAAGACCGGACTTTGATCGCGAAACTTTCCATGGTGACACCACAAGAGAAGGCTACGTCACAAAATGTCTTGTACATTTAGATTATGTCAGTGTCACTTTACATGGACGCACACTCGAGCCTTGTCTGTTTTTTGAGTATGTGGAAACGCAGCGTAAGTCTGCTTTTCGACCATCTCGAGTGTGATCCCTATACACTAACGTCAAGCAGTAGAGCATCAAACCCAACCTCATACCTCAAGCACCTGGGCCGGATCTACCTCGAACTTAGAGGCTCCGAAAAAATGGCTGTCGCAATGCGTGGGGACACACCCAAAATGTCAGGCTGCAGAGGTTTTGAGAGCGCGAAGGCCTAGAAAAGCTTCTACAATGCGCCTTCTCCAAATTGAACAGGTGGATGAAGGCCGGGTCCGCTTGTTGATCAATCCCTTCTCAGATCCAGCATTCGCGCCTCGTTACGCAACATTAAGTCATTGTTGGGGACGGGATCCATTCTTCATGTTGACTAACCAGACAAAGGACCAGCTAACGAGCGGTATTCTGACGTCTATTCTTAGCCAAACGTTCCGGGATGCCATATCGGTGGCAAAGTCTCTAGAGATACAGTATATCTGGATAGATTCCTTGTGTATAATCCAAGACTCGGGTCAAGATTGGGAAGAACAGGCGCTTCTGATGGACGAGGTTTACCGTCATGCTTTTGTTTGCATTGCGGCGGCTGCTAGCGCCAAGAGCAGTTCTGGGTGTTTTCGCACACGTGAAGCCAGCTCCAGGGTAACTTGCGAGGTAACGACGTCTTGGAACCATCGACCTAATAGCGTTTATCAGATCCATAATTCGAGAATCTGGCCCGACGCGTTTGAGGATCAGCCTCTCATAAGCAGAGCTTGGGTAGTTCAAGAACTACGATTGTCACCAAGAATCCTATACTTCAACTCTAATCAGATCTTCTGGCAGTGTTACGACAAGCTTGCCTGCGAAGAACTTCCTACGCGTATTGAACCCGATCGGCGCACGGCCCATCAGCAAGATGATAGTTTCAAATTCAGCACCTACGACTATCACCATCAGCCATTGGTCGGAGACCGAGCCCCACGCATGATTCGTAAGAACGAATATATGCGTACCTGGCTCACGATCCTTGAGCAATACACTAAGTGCCGTCTTACATTCCCCAAAGACAAGCTAGTGGCAATACCGGGCATAGCAAGGCTCTTCTGTGAGCCTCTCACCGATGCATACTGCGCAGGGCTGTGGATTCGACGAATGCCGATCAAACTTCTCTGGACAAGGGGCATCCGGGATCTTTTTCCAAAGCCTGCACTTCCAAAATCAACGCAAGAATGTTATCTAGCCCCTTCTTGGTCCCGGGCAAGTATGGATGAACCAGTAATACCGAGTGACCTCCACAGTACGAACCAAGACTCAGTCGTTATTCTGGTGGAAGCCAAGAGCTGCCATGCAACTTCCAAGACAGGTGATGCTTTTTCTGAGGTCTCGAACGGGGTCATTCGGTTATCCGGGTTCTTATCAAAGATGCAACTCCGACCAGTTTCTCATTCAGAATCTGTTACACACTGGAGTACATTTCTCAACGGAATGTGGCTAAGTACCGCTGATTCACGAGGTCGAACACACGTTGTATTGGATTACAAGCCCCTGAGCCTACAAGAAATGTTTTGTTTGCCCATATTACTCCAATTCAATCCAGTGGACGAATATTGGATACTCGAATGCCTTATCCTGGTTGCAATTGAAGGCAGGAAGGACACCTTTGAGCGCTTTGGGAGATTGAATATTCCAGTCAACGAACTTTTGGCAGATTGTCGTAGATCTGAGCTTGGAGGTGTAGGCAGCGATTCTGAACTTCAAGACGAGGACAGCGATTCTGAACTTGAAGATGAGGACAGCCACGTTGAACTCCAAAGCAGGGATGGCGCTTGGCATCATTTCATACTCTCCTGGAGTAAGTACGTAGTAGATTATTCGTGGAAGCCTGATAATTCGCTGGAATTCGAGACGATAGCTGTTCAGGGGGCTGTCGAAATATCGATCGTGTAAAAGCGTGGGAAAAAACCTTCTCACGGGATACACCAATACCATGAAAGAACTTCCTTTGCTATTTCATCATTCGTGTATGTTGTTCCTAATATCGCTTCCAGAATCCTAAAAAAAAAACTCGACACTTTCATGTCCTTCCAGACTCATCGTTCGTACTTGTCTCTTGACGTCTTGTCGCACTTGGTTTGTGCTCAGCATTCACGCCTATCGCATAACCATCTTTCTCATCGTCGAATATCTGCCATATATATCCTTGGAACAAACGCAGTTGTTTGTTCTCGTTGCAGTCATCCCGCTCTCGTCTTAACGATAACATTCAGCACCACACCCGGTGCTACCGTGGTATATGTTAAGAGTGAATTTGATCGCCATCTCGTCCTCCTACCGCCGTGTCCTCCGTGTCGGTGATGCCGCTGTTGTTACAGCCCTCGCCTAGTTTCACGAGAGAAGATGCATTGTACAGACGTCACAGATCATATCTGATGAAAAGAATGATCAGCACTAACTGAAGCGCCATACTCCACTTTTTAATAGAGAAATTGGAAGGGGTGGACGATCGGAGCAACTCCGCAACCAGAGTCATTCTGCAACATGGATCCGTATTCCTCGTTGTGTGGGCACCATTCACTGCAATGCTTGGACACGAACTACTACGCCTCGGCTAACACCGCTGCGACCTCAGCCGTACCCATCCTGATGGATACCGCGACACGCTCGACGTCCATGTTCCAGTACGGTAGAACAAGACAAGAAGCCTTCTCTATGCATAAACAAGTATATAAAATGTCAAAACCTCCCCGAACACGTCACAGCTCTCAATGCAAGCACCCGACAACCTATCCACCGAGCCATCCAATAGCCACGTCACCGCCGTACCTTAACCCTCGCCTTACACAAAGCATCAACATGAAACTGACACCCCAACCCCAACACCTGTCCCAGCCTTCCCTCACCCCTCCAAAACCTCTCTCTTACCACATTAGACCTAGCCTCAGATAATAATTCCCCCTCCTCCTCACTACCACTCTCAAACAGCGTAATCTCCCTGACCAAATCCCAATGCTCCGCCCCATTCTTCCACCTCAACAGCATCGGTTCCAACAGCCTCCCCGTAACATTTTTATTCCGACACGTAGTAGCAAAATCCTGAATCTGGCCGTCAAACCAGGATAAACTGGGGTCAGCAGGCTGCCAGACGGACAGGGAACGGAGGGATGTTGGTGATGTTGACGTAGTAGTAGCGAAGTCGAGGAGAGAGAGCGCAGCTTGGAACATGTACGATACATCCATACGTGCATTCATTCTATACTGCGCCATATCTTTGCTCTCGGCGAACGTAAGACCGTGTGGTAGGATACTTTCATCCAAGGGAAAAGGAAGGTGTGCGTGCGAGAGATCAGGGCGTAGTGTGAGGTGCTGCAGATTCGGTGGCAACAACGGGTAAATCTCCTTTGTGATGGAAAAGTCGACGTCGCCGGTTAAAAAGGGAAAAGGCACTTCGAGCGTGTGCAGTGCGGTGAAAGGAGTGAGGTCAAGGTACCCGTACAGCATCTCGCTGATGCGTGGTTGCTGGAAGAAGTAGGCGGATGTGTCGCTGTATTCTGCACTCATGACCAAGACTTGTAGCGTCGAGGCAAAACGGCGGAGGTGTTCGCTCCACGCGTCTAGGTCGAGCATCTGGTGGTGATGCGAGGGGGGTAAGGGGCCCGGGAAGAAGAATTCGTAGGTAAAAGAGCGTAGTTTGGGCATGCATTGTAATAAAGAAGGTAGAGCCGGTGTGAAGGCCCCGGAATGTCGGAAGACTAGTGTGGTGATGTTGGTGGCTCTCGTGCGACCTAGTATGGGGTTCGCAAGGTGCGCGTGTGCTGTGTTGATGTGTTGCAGACCAGCGGGCCACTTGAGATGGGAAAGTTCCAACGTCTCGAGACTGGGAATGTTGAGGAAATGGTCAAGAGTCATGCGGCTGTTATCGCCCTGGTACGCAACTCCAGTTCTACTGTCGAACATGAGAGATAGTTTTTTGATAGTCGACAATCGGCTCAGCAGAATGCGCGAGGGGTATCGCTTATTCCACGCAGTCTCCGGATCGAGGTTACGCAGGATAGTGTGCAGGTGGTGGAAGGTTACGGACTTGTAATCTGCTACGTCC